TGTTTGGCATTGACGGGACTAACAAACAGCACTTAGTGCTCCAAAACAGATCAACCTATTGCGTCTGATTGGGGGAGCAGCAGTCCCGTATAAAAAATCCAGCCAGCGTGAATTCGTCCACAAGCCCCTATCGCGACGACGAGGCGGACGGAAATGCTACGAACCGTAATAACGACCAGGAAACTGCCCTGAATGTGATAGTGCTTTAGTGCCTTAGAATGATTCTGTTCGTCCAGTATATGCATCTGCCAACAAGGCTGTCTCGAACTTGAACTTCATTGTGAACGGCTGATAAGATCAGATGATCGTTCAGCTGTACCACCCTTCCGGTGCTTGGCTGCTATGCTACCCGAAGGAAGCATGGGGGCTGGGATATTGCCAGGTCGCCCAAGCCTAGACAGAGGAAGTCGAGTGGCACAGATCGGGTTCGAACCAGGACCTTCCGGTCAGTAGATTCGCGCTCCAACCACTTGATCCATCTTGCCCCAGATGCGTTTAATCTATCTGCGATGATATTCACGCTTGCTCTACACGGCCTGTTGGTCGCCAGTTTTGGGCTTTCCAAGTCTAACCGATAATTTTGTACACATCGGTTATTAAAACAAACGCTTCTTCGGAGATATTTTGCCAAGCTACTACACTCCTACCTAATTATTGGTAGAAATTCAATAAACAATGTTTGTAATGACTCAGCGTTTCGATCACCGCGCTTGACTTCCATCAACAGCAAGATAATCGAAATCATCAAGGTCGGTCATCATCATCATCAAGGTCAATCAACCTTCGGTAGACTATTCAGTTAAACAGTGTGACAGCCACGTGTGTGTAAGTTGAAGCTAGGACAAGCTAGTCAAACTATCGGCTGTTGTTTATAAGTCTCAACCACAGCACTGATTATTGTTTTGATTGGCTCATATGGGCTATGTGAACTGCCAAGGCTTCCGCACATCACGGTTTCGCGATCATTTTAAGTGACCTGAATAGTTTTCCCCGCACGGTTTGTCATGCACTTCGAGCCTGCGGAGTGTGTAGTGCTGAGACAAGACGGGGTGGGATCAAGCCTCATGCTTGCAGACAAGCTAATCGATGTGGTAGATAGGTGTGTTCACCTGGGAACCGCTGGAGACGAAGTTACTCCTCGAATCAGGAACCCCGGGGCAACTTTCACCAACCTCCAAAACCTATGGTGCAGGCGTGATGCCGGACTAATTGAACATATCGCGGATTCCAATGCCTGGTCGTATCTGCAGCGTTCTCCTGTCTTCCGGTGTTCGAAAATGTAGCAGCTGGAGCCAAAAAAATCGTTCAGCTGTAGCACCCTTTCAGTGCCTAGCTGCCATGCCACACGAAGGAGGCACGAGGGCTGGAATACTGTCAGTTTGCCCAAGCCTAGACAGGAGAAGTCGAGTCGCAGAGGTCGGGTTCGAACCACGGATCTATCGGTCAGTAAATTCGTGCTCTAACCACTTGAGCCATCTCGCCCCCCCCCCAACGCTGCAACCAACGTGACATTGGTATTTGGTTTATGGCTGATAAACTAACTGACTGTCAAGCCTTAGTGAATTGGCCCAGCCTGGTCAAATAGGACAGTGTGGCTTTCCAGCAAGGCGTGCAGAGCAATAGCTGAGTTGCGAGCGAATTTTAGGAGAGCCAGTAAGATTTTTCGTGTTCTGCAGCGCGCACTTGCAGTCGCCCGCTTTTCTCTTCTATTCGGTTAGCACTGCGATCCGTACAACAGATTTTGTGCACGCTGTTAGTTTCAGCACTTGGAACAATGGAGCAAGTGTCTACTAATGGTTTTTCTAACTTTGAAAACTTTGCGTATGTCATACTCTCAAAAAACCTCACGAATAGGCTCAACAGGGAGAGCATCTATGAAGTGGATAATAACGTAACGCCATCTGGGTTTTTCGGACCGATCGAATGTCCTATAAAAAAGCTGGCAGATGGTTGTTCAACTGCAGCATTTGCACGGCGTTATTCCCCTCCCGTAAAAACGCTGAAGGGAATGTCGGATTACCCGAAACTGGACAGCGATAACCAACATGCCCGATGTGTACATGGGCTATCGATCTATCCACCCGGAAAACTGCGGTGTTATGTCAATTGAAGGTCTGCCGAGGATGCGGGATGACATGAAGTGAACCCAGGTTCAAAACACGTAGGAAGTGCGTATCAATGGGAAGTAAATGAACTGAAACGGCCTCTGATAGTGGCACCGGCAAGTGACGTTAAGCTGCTACTGAAGTACGATTCGCTGCTGGATCCATATTCCTGACTAGTCCAAGCGTCCAAGCCGGACGAATTCCTCCAGCCAGTGATTCGAACCACCATCCGAGTGCAGTTTAGTGCCACTCACTGTTAAGCTATTCAGATTTAGGCTTCCACCTCAAATTGTGTGTAAGAAATGAAGCATTTCGTGGTCCCAAGATCCACTGAATGACGTAATGTGGGCACAAGGAAAATGGAGGTATCGTACATACCGTGCATATCATCAGATTTGTCACCTGTGTCCACAGCCGTCGCGGAGAGACTGGACCTTACGGTGATGTGACGGTTTATGTGCGTCGGAGACCCACTGAGATATACTGCAGGGGGTATCCATGCGACACCCAACCCTTCATACCAAGTTAGTCAATTGTTAGGCGTCTGACCAACACAGTCTCCTGGTCCTCCATATCGGCGGTTGGAAAACGCGAAGTGCTGTTCTTGTTGTCGGTTTCTATCCAGATTACCTGAATAAGTATCTGGAGGTGTAGGCAGCTCGGAATGATTGTGGTAGGCACTAAGTCCACTCGCCATTCACTTTTATTCTCAAGTGGTTAGAGCAATAATTTACTGACCGCAAGGTTCGTGGTTCGAACCCGACCTCTGCCTCTCGACTTCCCTGTGTAGGTTTGGGCAAACTGACAGGATCCCGACCCTCGTGCATCCTTCGGGTGGCATGGCAGCTAGGCACCGAAAGGGCGCTATAGCTGAACGATTATTTTATTTATTATATTATTATTTATTATTCTATCCCCAATAGGGCGCACAAATAAACTATGGTTGTACGGCAGCGAAGTGCTGAACATTGATGTCATGCTGTCGATAATGACTTTGTCTGGAAAACGAGAACACTAAAAGAGTCCCTTTACAAGATCATTAATAATAGAAAGCACTTCTGCGGAAATCGGCCGGAACAAACCAAGCTAGACGGTTGCATTGGGAAAGTGAGAATACAAAAGCTACCGGTCCGAGGAAAAAAGGGTGACTAGCTTTAGCTGGAAAGCACGTTATCCGAAGGAATCACCAGAGACCCAACTAAGGTTATTAGTCAGATGAGTTTCGGCTGTCTGGTTGGACCGGGACCGAAGTCCTTCGACCAGAAAAAGCGCTTTCCCCTTATTGAAGAGTGATACCAGGGTTTAAGCTTTCGGACAATACCACACTATTTTTACTTTCAAAACAAGCTAGGCATTCGAGACAGGTGGGAAGCGAATGAACTGATCCGCCCTGTGAGAAGCCCATCTTCGAGCACCAAAAACCGGGCAGCGATTGACAGAAAATGCATGCGTGCACTTCTTATAGGATGCTCTTCACTCGCAGGGGTATTGCAATACTCGGACACTAGACAGCGCCTATAATTTATAGGGAAAAAACATTCAGAAACACCCAAATTGTTTTCAACTTTGAGAGATTGCTTTCAGGGGGGTTGGTCTGAACCGAACCGAAAAGTAACAAGTGCATGAAAAAATCATTCTCGAGCCACATCGGACCATTGCAATCAATCCGTTTACAATTTTCCGACCACTATGCTCTGTTAGGATGCACTATCTGGATCGTCTTGCCGGTGTGAACAACGGACCTACAGGTTCTTGACTGAGCTCATCCCCTGTCAGTTCAGAGCTATCATATGTTGTACCTTGTTTCGAATAGGTTGGTTTCGGTCCACATGATCTTTTGCAGCAATCGAAACAGGGTCAAGGTCACAGATGAAATTGTCAAACGGCCTTGAGATGTTTTTATACAAAGGAGACATTCATTGCAAAAGCACTGAGAGAAGTACAAAAAAAATTCCCGCTTGAGGGCTCTTGGGGAAATTGAGTAGTATGGTCAAAACTAACGCTAAACCAATTTACTTACCCCTTCCGTCAAATGGGTGATGAGATCTTGGCGGAAAGAGACATGGTCGAGACACTTGCCCAAGTCAAGCAACGCCGGGACGGAGTCTGGGAATTCGATGATGAGTGAAAATATATCGGGCTTGCGAACCTCGAACAAAAGCTGGTAGATTAATTCATCTGACAGCTGTGACGATAATTGTTTGTGAGAACCGGAGGAAACCGACGGAAAGAGAGTGGACAACCATCGGTTGTGTATAATGTCTTTGTTGTACAATAGAATTCGGTCCAGAAAGTGTTCCGAGTAGTTTCCAAAACACAATGCTCTAATACGGTGTGTCAATGCAGCTTTGACAAATCGGAAACAGACGGAAGGCAGGAGAGTAGCTAGGGTCAACCACTGGTTCGGACAATTCAACTTACGCCCCATTTGGAGTAGTTCAGTTTTAGCTTCGTCTAACTCGACGGAGAGTACGGAGGAGAACACGTTAGAATCGCCCCGATCTGCCTCGGCTGCTTCCAGTTCAAGGCCTAAATACAATTCCAGAAGCACTTCAATGTGAGTTCTGACGGGCACGGGGAGTATGACTGAAGAAATAGAGGACTGAAGCTCATAAAGGACTGATGAAGTGGGACAGCCCACGGCGTTCAGAATGTCAGGATCGCCACAAAGGGTACATAGAAATGTGTTTATATCATCATTCACACTGTGACATGCTTGCAAGAATAATTTCAGCAGACTGAATACAGGGTGAGAACTCGGAACAGGGAGGCATAGTTCATCTCGGGAAGGAAATTGACACGAGTCCAAGCTGGAAAAAGGGGAAATTTTCGCAGAAAGTCCAGTATCCTGGAGGAAAAAGATCAACTGTTCAACGAGGAGGTCCTTGCAGTGACATTCGCACGCGACTGTTGCAGTGCATGCGTACACATCTTTAAGTGAACGGTGTAGGAAATCCATTAGGTTGCATTCACAGCTGGTTATGTTGATAGGGCATAAGGGCCTGAAAAGGACGGGAAAAGATGAGGCAATGATGAGCAATAGTGTTTGTAATGATGTTGTGACGAACGCAGCCCTAGTTTTCTGGCACCGTCCGATCACTACAAATTGTTTGGCTGTGTCCAAAATACCTATGGTGACTACAAACAAAACTCGTTGTCAAGAAAGACCCGCATGCATCGGAGCTGCAAATTTGTGAAACTGACGATCGTCGACCGCTTCTATGACGTCAGAAAATAGCCAATTTGAGATCGACCGAATTGGTGCAGAATCGGTGACTTTACTTGACTGCTAATGGGTTATCTTGAATAAGTGTGGACAAAATCAAGGACGTTAAGCAGACTATGTGTTAGGTGTGGAAACTGGAAGCACGAAATAGGATGATATGGAGGGAAGGGTAAGAACTGGAATTTGTGAGCTCAACTTCAAGCCAGAGAGCAGAAGATTCCAGGATGCAATGGGATCGTTGGAGGCACAACCTGGAGCTACAGCGACTGCGGCCGGGCTCGTGCTGTTCGTACAAAATTGATCGGCCATCAGTGAGTACGAGGTGACCCCATCGATGGATGAAGTAGGTTCACATATCCCTCTTAAAAAATCGTTCAGCTGTAACACCCCTTCGGTGCCTAGCTGTCGTGCCACCCGAAGGAAACACGAGGGCTGGTATAATGCCAGGTCGCCCAAGTCCAGACAGGGGAAGTCGAGAGGGAGAGGTCGGGTTCGAACCACGGACCTTCCTCCGGTCAGTAAATTCGCGCTCTAACCGCTTGAGCCATCTCGCCTCTATCCTTCTTAACCTCTGAAATAAGCAGATAGCTGGATTTTACGGTGATCGTTACGTGAACGGAATAAAGTTGAATCAAGGCTTTTAACAAACGTGTGAATGCATTCGGCCTAATGCAGTTCAGGTGTACCCGGGGCGGGAACCACTAGGTTCAACAGGTAGGCTGTTCCCAAACTGGGAGGAGAGTTTCGCATTAATGCCAAAGATAGTTACAGGTTTTGACCATACAGTGGGTCACTGCTCCAGCCCTCTTCAGAGAAAGCGGAAAATCCCATCTGATAAAGCTTATTGGTATCATGAGAGAAAGAGAACATGCCTGCAGAACGGGGCATGTCTATCTCTATCTTCAAAAAGAGTACGCGAACGCTGTGTGAAAACCACCGTGGCATCAACCTGTTAGCTGTGGCATCGAAGATGCTCTCTGGCCTTATCCTTCGAAGGCTGATTGAACAGAGAGAAAGACAGATCCGTGAAAACCAAGCTGGGTTCCGTCCTGCAAGAGGTTGCATCGATCATATCTTCACCCTCCGACAGATTCTGGAACAGCGACACTGCTTCCAGCAACCAACAATGGTTGTTTCTTGATCTGAAAGCTGCCTTTGACTCTGTGGACCGTCAAGCATTATGGCAGTGTCTGTGGAGCAAAGGTGTCCCCCATAAATTCTTGACCCTCATTAAGGCGCTGTACGCCAACTCCAGCGGCCGTGTGAAGATCTACGGGAAGCTTTCTCCTGAGTTCACCACATCAAGTGGTGTCCGACAGGGCTGTCCTCTTTCACCTTTCATCTTCAACTTCGTCATTGATACGGTCATGGAAGACTCACTACCAGCCTCTAATGCCCGTGGGGTCGAAGTGCTCCCTCGGTGTCCGCTCACAGATATCGAGTACGCAGACGACACAGCCCTTCTTGGATCTGACCCCGTGATAATGCAAACAATATGAAATAGTCTAAGTAATCCTACCTCACGGTTTGACATGCGCTTCACACCTGAAAAGGGTAAAGTGCTGCTGTAGGGCTGGGAGGGCTCGGAACCTAACCTCATGCTTGCGGATGAGCCGGTTGAGACAGTGGACATATTTGTTTACCTGGGCAGCTGTATGAGTCCCGGTGGTCTCGGAGGATCAGGAAAGCCATAGCAGCTTTGGTGAACCTGCGTCATCTGTGGCGTAGGCGTGATATCAGTTTGTCCGTCAATGGACGTCAAAAGATTTTCAGTGTTTGACCATCGATGCCTTCGAAGCATTGTCGAACAGTTTTCGGAAGAAATAACTCAGCTACAATGGATGAACTAATAACTCTGCAGAGGTTGCGCTGGATTGGCCACGTCCTCCGTATGCCAGCAAACCGACTTCTTCGAAGCGTTCCTTCTGCACAACCACGCGAAGGCTTGAAACGAGTTAAGGAGGTCAAACAATGACTTGGCAGCGGAGTGTAAAAGCCATTGCCAACAAACTCAGCTGCGCTGGTCATAGCCGTCTTCCTGGATGGAGACCCCGAAACGGGACACATCAATGGTGAGAGATATTTTCAAACATGGTCCAGTCGCGCCCTCAATGGAGTTTTTGCGTCCCAGCTATTGCCTTCAATGCATAGCCCCCTCCTCAATCCCCCACTTAAAAGTCTACTGAAAACCCTGTGTTCACGCATCAACTATGTCAGCTCCCGCCTCCAATGCGCCGCTTTCTGCCCCACCTCCCCAAATCACAGCTGGCAATGATGATGATGATGAGTTGAAGGATGATTAGCGCTGGCTAGCTGAATGTGTGCCTAGAATAAGCCTCCTGTGTGCGGTTCACCAGGTGTTGTGTCATGCTGTGTGTCGGATCTTGGCTTCCTGCTCCGCTCAAAAGGCACGGTAGCTTCAGACAGCCCTTTATGGAGACAAGGGAAGATTATTACAACCGTATTTATATGGTAATCACAGAGTGTTCCACAAGATCGCGATAGAATCCCCGTGAGGGGGCGAGAAGCGCCAAGCCATGTATCCTCGATCCAGACTGGCTGACATTCTGATCAATCAAGACGCCTTCGTATTGTCAGTAACCCGGACGCGACACATATGTCCAATTGATATGATGTTCGGTTAGTGGGTGTGGCTGGCCTCCGAACACCAGGTGAACTTTTGCACGCATTGGGGGGCTCAACTATTCGTCTGTACCATTGAAACTGATGATTAATGGTCACCAACTAACTAACTGGGCATGTGGATAGTTTTAGGATTGCCGTCTCCTATTCAGGTGGATGCACAAACACCTCAGCGCGTACCCTATTTAGCACTACATTCATTGAGCGTGGCTGTCAACCGAACAATAGTCGCGTTCGCATCGTTCCGGCAACCAATGAACAACACAACAACAACAGCGCGTTTACAGGAAGTGAGTAGGTTGTAATGGGCTTCAAGCTGCGAGGTGCACAAGTGTGGAAGGCAGTGAAAAATTAATAATAATCGTCCGGCTGTAACAACCTTTCGGTGCCTAGTTGCCATGCCACCTGAAGGGAGCACGAGGGTTGAGATACTGCCAGGTAGCCCAAGCCTAGACAGGGGAAGTCGAGAGGCAGACTTCCAGTCAGTAAATTCGCGCTCTAACCACTGAGCCATCTCGCCGCAGAGGACTACTGAAATCGCCATATACTAAGAAAAATGGAGTGTACGTATGCACCGAGTGTTACTCCGGAGTGGCCTCAGTTGGCTTCCGCGTATTCCGTTTATCAAGGCCGAATGTGCTTTAACAAGATCAACAAATTGGGCCGTTGCACATGTGCCATACCGAAATGCACCCGTCACGCGTTTCCACAGCCTAGGTCAGTCGAACAAAGTATGCAGCCTACTGTGAACTTACAAACTGTTGAGTTATCCCGTCCAACATACTTGTGAGGAGTTTAACTGTAAGACGGTGCATCAACACGGACAGCTTGAATAGGCAATAAGAAAGGAGGGTCTGGGAAGGGTAACACCCGTAATGGCGAACACTTAGTTAGAATTGTGGGAATCGACCAGCGACAATAGCCATTCTGGATTTAAAGGTACATCATCATCAGTCCTCGACAGTAAAATCAGCATTGAAATCCGTGATTCTGGGTTTTCGGCTTTGTTCCAAACGATTGCAGATGTAGAAAAACATTTTTCACGTTCAGCAGTTACACTTAACATTGCTGAACTGTGGTCAGAGTGAAGTACACTTACGAGCATGCTACAGGGAGCTTGGTTTCACCTAATGACAGTCCAAGAAATGGTGGACTTCCATTCGAATGTCCAAAAGTGCCAAAGCAGTGCATCGGGTTCATTGCAGTTCATACAAAGGCGATATTTCCAATCCGGATAGCAAGGTCGGAGCAACTTTTGTTAGGCTACATCACCTGTGGCATAGGCGTGACATCCGCTTGAGTGGCTGTGGTCGAGTTTGAAATGATGCGATGCGGTGAGGACATGAAAACTTTTCAGTGTTTGAACATCAATGTCTTTGGAGCATTATTCGAGTCTAGAAAGAACTTTGGATCAGTAGTTCTGAAGTACGTCGAATGGTACGCGATAGGATGTGGTGGCTTGTTACATACTCTATACGCCAGTCGACCGACTTTCACGTACAAGCCAGAAAAGGGCGAGAACGAGCTGCACTGGTCATTGTGGATGGGTGCCCCCAGACGGGACACATTACTGGTTGGAGACATTGTCAGACCTGGCTCAGTCTCTGGTCCAATGGGGCGCATGCTGCATAGCTCCCAAGCTCCTCGATAACAGATGCACTGAAAATCCTGGATTCGCGCACCAATCACATCAACTACTACGTGCGCTGAGTAGCTATCCACCGGCAACTTCTCAGATTATTGGCGAACACAACTGCGACATGCGATTTTCACGGCTGACGATGGAGGAAGCCCGAGGTATACTTACATGTCGACACAAAACAAGCAGAATTCTTGTAGATCCTATTGTGCTTAGGTCAGATGTATCATTTTAAAACTCAAGGATTTCACATTCAACTAATCAATGATCTCCCAGTTTACGTCGTGGAATTGGAGTGTAAATTCAATCGGGTCAGCCAAAACATCGTAGCGCTCATCTTCATTGTATGCTGCTTTTGCTAAAATCATTTGCACAGATAACACGATTTGCACGTATACAAAGTTGGGGCAGTTTAAATGCTCGGCAATGTTAAACCGTTAGTCCAGATGTTGCCCACTGCGAGTGGGCAAGAAGTCTATCGTGATTGTTTTGTAAGCCTGTGATTATCTTTCCCGTCTACATGCTAGTCGCATAGGTATCAGTCATTTGAGACGTAGAGTTCAAATTCCGATCATACCTCTAATGCGAGATGGCTCAAGTGGTTAGGGCCCAGATTTACTGACCAGAGGAAGGTCCGTGGTTCGAACCCGACCTCTGCCTCTCCAATTTCCCTGTCTAGGCCTTAAGTAACCTGGCGGTATCATAGCCCTTCCTTCGGGTAGCATGGCAGCTAGGCACCGGGAGGTGTAACAGCTAAGAGAGATTTTTTTCTAATGCTGAAGGGCAGCGAAAAAGATGTGGACACACTTTCTCCGGTCGGTGAGAAAACAGATTCTCCAGCATTGTGTCCACGTAGATGACGTGTTAATTATCACTCTCGCTAAAGCACCCAAATCCCAGCTTTGACTTGTTCTCTTTTGAGGCAGTGCGTTGGTCTAAAAACGCGGGTAAAACCTCCAAGAAATTCCTGATTTGATGCTGCTACTGAGGATGTCGGTGCTGAGTTGAGAGAAACAGTGTGACATGAAAAATGTGAAAATGTGAAAAACACAAAACCCGGTAGAATATGGTTATACGATTTATTTACATTTGTTTTTCAGTATTTTACAAAAACTGTTGTGATCCATGTCCAAATCTACCAGACAATTCCTTCGATCGCTGAATCAATGCATTCCGAGCAGCACTGCTTAGGTACGACAATTTCAAATCCTTGTCACGATCAAACGGTCGTCTGGTTGGTTCGTTCGGCGGCGGCGAAGATTTATGTTTCTTGTGCTGAGGGAACAGAAAAAACAGTTTTGAAGGACTGTCCACTACCATCACCTACCTTTGACTTGTGTTTGCATTTCTTAGATTCCTTTTTCGACTTCTTCGCTTCTTTTTTGGCCTTTTTCGCCTCCTTCCTTTCCTTATCCTTTAGCTTTTTCTGGTGTAGATCCAAAAGACTGGATGTTGGTTTACCTTCCTAAACGGGACACGGGTAAAAAGGGCGGCTAGTCCACAAAAGAGTCCCGGTGTTCTCACCTGAGTTTTCGTGGCGAGTGACTCCATTTGTTTGTCGTACGCCATGCTTGCCAGACGTTCCTGTTCGTGAGCGGCTTGTCGTTTTACCTGGTGGAGAAATGATGAAAACGAGCACTCATCTGGTCTAAACGACTGGATCAAGGAATACTGTGAAGGACCGTTGTCCAGGTCAGAAAAGCAGGAGTGGGTAAGCTCAGAGTGTACCGACCAGAATACAATTTACACCCGTGCACCACTAGCATGGGGTATGTGTACAGTCACGGCATAATTGAAGCAAATTTGGGAAACTGCTCAGTGAAACCAGTGGCGATCCGCGACAGGAATTATGCACTTTATCGGAAAACAAAGAATACTTGGAAAGGCAATCACTGAGCAATCACCTAGCAGCAGCCGGTGGATGAGCAGCAAAACGTCAAGCAAAAGTTTTCGGTAGTTCGTAGCTGGTGTCCGAATTGGAATAACCGAACAGACATCCTGTATGGTACTTACTGCACACGAGCCTTTGGCACCAATGTAGCAGTAGGATTGGTGAGAAGACACAAAAAAGAAACCTGCTCCGAGCCACCAATTGGTATGAACGTCGCGACACGACAATAGGCGTCGGTACCAGTTGTCCCTTTGTCATTGAGATACCGATACCATCCGTCAAATAACTTCATTTTATTGACAGTATGGGATTTTGGAATATGTTAGCCAAGGTTATATCCTTTACGTGAAGTCAACCTACGCCCCCCCCCCCCCC